TATAAAGTAAATAATGCTTGGGAATTTCCATTTGAGTTTACTCTATTTGAATACTATGTATTCAAGTGCAATAAATTACATCAAAACCTCAAATAGTTGACTGAATTAAACATAACATTTTCAAATAAAAAGACAAAATAGAATTTGTTTGTAAAATGTACTTAAATTATACTATCTTTATTTACAATCACAAAAAATAATTTTTTACAGTACAGCAGTGAATTTCCACAGTATAGATAAAAAGGTCTGCATTTCACCAGTAGACATTCTGAGTCAGTTCTGCAGTGCTTGCTGATGATCTCAACATCTGAAAACCATGTGTTGTTGATGTAAATGCAAACACTGCGGCTTTTTTCTTTCCGGATGTTGCAGTATGGTCCGCCTGGTAGATGGAGTGCATTTGTAGATTGACTGCTGAGATTGGCGTATTAACCAATAACCTGGTTTCTGTGAGAATAAGAACACAACAGTCTCTGATATCCCACTTGGATGTAATCCTGGTTCTGAGTTCGTCCATCTTATTTTTGAGGGAGCACATACACTGTAGCAACAGACGAGGTAGAGGTGGTCAGCTTGTTTTAGCTTTTAGCCTAGCATGTAGCCCACCTCTCTTGCCCTGTCTCCACTTTGGTTGCTTGTTCCCCTGGCTGCACTGTTCACTCTGTTGTGGTGTAGGTGTAGAACCCCAATGTAGGAGGTAATCCAGATCCAGCAGGCTGAAAGTCAGTTGAACATCACCAAGTCTGTCCTAAGTGATAAGCCCAAACAAGCACTGTACTGTACATCATAGTACAGGGATATTCAAAAGAATTTAAATCTGTAAGTGACACTCGCTTACAGACGACAATGTCCATAAATATGCCAACTACACCATCACCTCTCCGTTTTACTCTGGATACAATCTGAAATCTATAATTTGGTGGTGCTAATTCGATGAGCGTTGTTGTGCTGAAGTTTTGATCTAACCATGCTTTTGTTAAAAATATAAAATACTTGAAACTGCTGATAAAATCATTCATTAAAAACGTTTTGTTACGAAGTGCCCAGACATTAATTGGAATTAACTTTCTGGTTCTGGTAAGAGGCTCTGTAGCTGACTGAAACAGCTGAGAAGAAATGTGTCTCA